AATATGCATGTCAGCACGATGACTACACCTCTAGCAAAAGTAATGAGGATACCAATAGATGATAATATTTTTATTGTGCTAATATATACATTTTTAATATTTTTCAATAATTTAATTTAGTGTACAATACTTTCCAAGTCAAAAAAAAAATTTAAAAAGAGGGAAGTCATTGAGAAACTCTACTCAAAGGCATAAGAAACTAGAGTGCCATGTAGAGTCTCTTATTTTTCCATGTTTAATGAGGAGAGTGATAGTTAACATAAAACCAAAAGGGAGTTTCTCAACAACTTTAATGGAGACATATACGATCAACTCTACCATATAATGCACAAGGGTGACTTGGGTAGGTTTAATTAAGCTTAATTTTAAGTTTCATTTAAAAGTTAATTTATTGACTTAAAAAATCAATTTTGCTATAAATAAATAAATAAAATTAATTCATTTGACAAAATCATTTTGCACAAAAATCCACTTTGGCCCTTCTGAAAAAACATTTAGAAAAGTCAAAAAAAATATATATATATTTATATATATATATGCCAAACAAACTAACAATTTTAGAGCATTAAATTTTTTTGTAAGTTTATTTTTAATCAATAAATTAACATTTTAGCTAATACAACAATTGTTAAGACATAACAGTTGACATTGCAGAATCACCATCAAATGTGCAAATAAATTTCAGAAGCAAACAAAATAAGCAAAAATAAAGCAGGTAAGCTTTTCTCATCTCGTAGTAAATTATTTACCTAACTTTTGTCATCTTCTGCTTTACTTTTGCATCTACTACTTTATTTTTACTTTACAAGAACATTACATTATATTATATAGTTATAACCTAAGGAGAGAGAAGTGTTGATGAAATTGAACCCAGCCAACGAGCAGAGCATTCAAAAGAAGACATAGGTTAAATCATAATCTATCCATGAAAATGACTTAACAAGGTACCCCATAAATAAATTAACCATTTTCGAGTTGAAAACTTTAGAACTTTTTTACTTGTTTCTCTTGTTCCATGTCGGTCATATTATTTATTTATTTTCTCTTTTGGTTTGAAGAAAATGCTAATATTCTTAAATCATTTTCTTGTTTCAATTTTCACACCATGAAGGATTTGGTTTTTTATAGCAGTGGAAGTTGCTACTACTTGTGATGGGGAGCAACTAACAATGATTGACCCCTTTTTTAAATTTCAATTAGCCCTGTTGTTGAAGTAATTGACTGTGAATGGACAAATCCACCCTTCTAATATTCACAAGAAAACTTCAACTCTGGAGGACAATTGCATCCACTAACCGAAAATTTGCCTTAACAACTGCCATGGCATTAGGGCAGTGCACCTTCCTTCTTTCTCTAAAACACGTTAAAAGTAAAAAGTGAAATACCAAGTCTATTACCCTCCCTCATCAATCCCAAGCAACATGCAACCAAAATAACTTAAATAAAGTGAAACATGTTGATTATTGAGAAAAAAAAGAGATTTTTAATTTCTACTTTCTGATTATAAGTTTGAAAATTTGCCAGACTAGTGCTATTAGGTGAGGATACAAAAGGGGCCCATCAAGTTGTTCTCCACCTTCTAGGAAATTGCAGCTTTCATGAAAAGAAAATAGAGATGTTTCATTGAACACATAAGAGCAATGTTGACATGTTTGATTTTTGGTCATTTGGTGGCCTCTTCTTGTCTTGCTCTGTTTTGTCTTATAAGACCGATTTTAACATAATGGAGGAAATCACTGGTTCCATCATTGGTATTGGTATTGGTATTGGAATTTCACTATTTATAGTGTCATAATGTCATTTATAGTCCACTTATCTTGTGGCTCTCTTGGTTTTATGCTAAATTCAATAAAATCAGGATCTACTAATTTATGATTTCAGATTTCTGAATCAGAAAATATTGCATTCTGGGCCTGCGCTCCATGTGCAGACGCTGGGCTGTGATAAACTGGAATTGTGGCCCTCTGTAGATTTTTGAAGGCCCAATCAAGTGCAAATGTCTAGGATTGTTACTATGGATGCCAATTTGGGGTCCAAACAAAATGTTAACACGTATTTTATTCTCTAATACCTACTTGGTTCTTTTAGTAAACAGAAGACGACGGCATCTGGGTGATACACATGGTCAGTGTCTTCAACATTTCTAATTGCCTATACAAGCAGGACTTTAATTGCCTCATGAAACACTTAAATTCTGATCCTACCATCATAAACAAATCTATAAGGTGACAGATTGTACATACCTTAGTGATCCTCTAAAAATATCTGTTGTGAAAGTTTGCATCTCCCTTCAATCTCCTCAAATAGTACCAGACAGCCAACAAGGTCATCAGCCTGAATCAATTCAACCAAAAAATACATTGAAAAAAAAAAAAGACACAAACAATAAATATCTAGAAAAAATGACATGCTAAATGAAGGTCTTTAGATTTCTTGAGATAATACAGATTGAACTGTCCCTATACAGAATTTTTTACAGATTAGTTTGGTTATACTTTGTTGATCAATACCACCACAGTTCATTTGCTGGTGCAAAAAATTTGATGAACTGGATTTGAAGGTGAGGAATCCGTATATAGCGGCAAAAAGAATATATATGAACAGAGTTGATTGCAACAATGCAAGGCCGACTCGTGTGTAAAGCCACTAAAGCAGTGGGCTTTAAACGCCCCAAATCTTTAAACATGAATATAATAGAAATGTTTTTCTAACAACACTATTTTTTAAGGAGGCCTGTTTTGAAAGACTCCAAACCGTGTTAACAACTATAATATAATTCTTTTCTACTAGCAACTGTATTTTTTAGAAAACCCTCCATCTGTCAAACCCAAATAACAAAGGCCCACAACAATAATTGTTTCATGAAAATTGTTTCCTAAAATTCCAATGACAAGTTAAAAGATATACTGTAATAAAATTACTAATGAATTTTAGGGTAAATTACACTAACCTCCGTAAAAATTTAAAGAAAATATAATAAGTCATACTATTTTGACATAATTACATTGAGCTCACTTATAATTCATATAACACTTAACTTCATTTTCATCAATAACTTGTTAGTTAAACTATCTTCAACGATGAATCAAAAATCTCATCAAATTTGATAAAAACTTTGATTTGATAACCCGTTCACTCCAATGCTAAAATTATAATTTTCATCAAATTTTTTCACATCCCCAGTTGTTTGGAAGGACGTCCAAGTAGATTACTCGAGGTCATCCGGACATGAACAAAAAAGCTATCAAAATTGCTCTTAGTGGACATCCGGAAGGATGTTCGGCCCAACAATAATTTTAGGGCAAATTATATATACCTCCCTCGAGGTTTAGCTAAATTACAGATACCCCTGAAGTTTCGGAAATTACATCCCGGCCCCTGAAGTTTGTATTTTCATAACAATTTGCCCCCTGAGGTTTACATTTCATAACAAATTACCCCCTAATTTCTTATGCAAATATAGCATTCAGGGGGAATTCATAATTTCTCAAACCTCAAGGGGTATCTGTAATTTAGCCAAACCTCGAGGGGGTATATGTAATTTGCCCATAATTTTAATTTGACAAAAGATAAAAAGCTCCCTTTATTTGATAAAAGTTTTGATTTTTACCTCTATTTTATGACTTTGGTGAAAGAGTTAGAACGCCTCATTTGGCACTTTTCATCAAATTTTAAATTTGATTAAGCATATGATGCTCAATTGGAGATGCTCCTGTATAGATAAAAATATATATATATATATATATATTATCATCTATTTTACAGGAAAATATATACTTTAAGCTATTTATTTTTGTATTTTCACACAATTTACATTAATTTTATTCCATTTAACCTTACTCCAAAAGAGGCCCTATAAATTGAGAACGTGTACATTACCCTCCAAGACTCACTTTATAAAGAGCCTCATGCACTAAATTGTCCTTTTATATTGTTAAAAGTAAAATATGACTACATATAAGATTTTGCTTTAAACCTCAAATAAGGTTAGGTTGGGCCAACCCTAGCAACAATGACATTCCTTTCTAAAATGACATTTACTGGTTTTTCCTCCCTAAAAAAAGTTATGATAGAGATTGTACCAATGCCACACCTTGTACAACTAATAATTCATCATCCACAATAACAACACAAACATGCAACAACCTTACTCAAAAAGAGGCCCTATAAATTGAGAACGTGTACATTACCCTCCTCCAAGACTCACTTTATAAAGAGCCTCATGCACTAAATTGTCCTTTTATATTGTTAAAAGTAAAATATGACTACATATAAGATTTTGCTTTAAACCTCAAATAAGGTTAGGTTGGGCCAACCCTAGCAACAATGACATTCCTTTCTAAAATGACATTTACTGGTTTTTCCTCCCTAAAAAAAGTTATGATAGAGATTGTACCAATGCCACACCTTGTACAACTAATAATTCATCATCCACAATAACAACACAAACATGCAACGGAAAAGGCCAAAAAAGAAATCAAATGCAGTGGCATAAAGTACCCATTTCTTCAATCTAAAATTTCACCTGTTCAGAGGGCCTTGAGACATCTCATCTCTTGAACCCCATGCTTGGCAGTCTTTTACAACCTGAAATGTCATAGAAGGAAACAAAATTAGAGGAACATAAAATATTCTTGAAAATGTGATATAACTCTGTAGAACATCAATAATCAATAAAAAAATGAAAAGTAGCAACATTTTTAAGAAAATGTGCAGGCTCATCATTTTATTTAAGCATGTATCTTCTTAGCCATGGAAGAACAAAATCAAACATCCTACTAACCCCATAATCTAACAAAACAACATTTAATGAGTAATTATAATCAACAAGAACTCCATAAGACTGATTAAAGCTCTGTAAATAACTAAGTCAACAATTTCCACAAACCACATTGATGAACATCGAATAACAGACAAGAAGAAACAAATTATTACTTCAATTTAAAGCTGTAATAATTTGCAAAATTGAAACTCAAACATAACAGACAACAATAAACAAATCATTACTAAAACTTGAAATTCATTCCATTTCAGCTGGCATTACACGAAACTTGATTAATAGATCAAGATCTTTACATTCAAAAGCCCTAGTTCAACAACTGCTTAACCACCAAAACATTCAAAAACACACAAACCCTAACTTATCAAGAGCTAGTGAACTTAGTAACCGCCTTAGTTCCTTCAGATACAGCGTGCTTGGCCAATTCACCGGGAAGAACAAGCCTAACAGCAGTCTGAATCTCCCGAGACGTAATAGTAGGCTTCTTGTTGTATCGAGCGAGCCTCGAAGCCTCTTGCGCTAACTTCTCGAAGATATCGTTGATGAAACTGTTCATGATCCCCATAGCCTTGCTCGAGATCCCAATGTCTGGATGAACCTGCTTCAGAACCTTGAAGATGTAGATCTTGTAAGTCTCTACACTCTTCTTCGACCTCTTCTTCTTCTTCTCTGTCGACGCTTCCTTCGGAAGCTTCTTCTCCGCCTTCGGTTTCTTCTCCGCCGGAGCTTTCTCCGCCGCCGGCTTCTTCTCCGCTGGCTTCTTGTCTGCCTTGGGCGCCATTGTAGAGAGAGAGTGTTGATGAAATCCTAGAGAGAGAAAGTTGAAGGAAATTTGCTTTGCTTTGCTTTGCTTTGCTGTGTGGAGTGAGTACGAAGCGGTGGAGATGTTTATATGGAGGTTTGGGGGTGGGCTGTGATTGGTTGGTTTGAAGTTACGAGGATCGTGGATTTGGACTGTTGATTTGGAAATACGGAAATGGATGGTGTGGATTGTTTAGAGCGAATTGGTTTTGAAATTATTTTGTGCGCTATTTTTGGGCGTAATGTAATTTCAAGCGTTTTGGCGGTTGTTTGAAAAATGGGGATGTCATTATTACCAATCTTAAGATGTGATTGGGTAATACTTATGTTTTTAATTTATATTTACAAAAATTTTATAAATTGATTTTTGTTTATTTTTAAAAAAACATAAACTACAAACGCGTTTGGTTTGGACAAAATGTTTGAAAATTTTAAAAAATATATATTCAACATAATATTTAAACTCTTTTTCAATTGAAAATACAAATAGAATATCTAAACAAATTGAAAACACAAAATCTTACAAATTACTAGGGGTGCTCGCGGTTTGACTGTTCGGTTGCGGCCAAAGGAACCTCACATCCGCCATCCGTCCAAAACTAAGCGGATTGAAAAAAATAATCCGCAAATGTCCGCTTGTCATCACGCATCGGTCCAAAATGCGGCGGATCACTTCGGTTCGGTCGGTTTGGGAGGATCGGTATATCCGCTGCTCATCCAGCCTCTTCAAAAGAAACCCTAGCCCCGTCAGCCCTCACTTTGCCAATCCCCTCCTTTTGTTTCGCTCCTATGTCTAGAGATCATATTTCTTTCTCTCATGCATTTAAATCTTTGTTGAAAGATGTTGGATGGGAAGGATATATTTTTTTTGAAATAATTTGATTTCTGGAAAGATGTTTGAAGATTAGTACAGCAGATGAGTGGTCAGTTTTGACCACCGACCGAAAATTTGCTAAATCTTTTTGTGCGGTTTTAATCATGTGTTCGGTCGAAATTGGGTAACTCTTTTTCCAGCATGAGGTTGTCGGTTCGGATGACGAGTATATAGTAAACCCGGTCCGACTCGACCCGTGAACACACCAAATTGTACTAGATCTACTATCAAGCAACAATAATGGACATAAATGATTTTATGTGGAAAAAACCACAATTGGACTCCTCCAATTATGATAAAAAAATCACGGGCTAATGACCACCAAAGCAATCCACCAAGAAGAATAAGAATTACACAAGGAATTCATAAAAGCACTTAGCGAATCCACACCCAATTGCCTTAAATCCCTCATGCCTCTTTTAATGCTATCTTCACCTCGGAATTGCTTCTCCAAACCTTGAATCCACAATGCCAATGTCGAATCTACGATAATGAGCCACTGCGGAATTCACTGAAACATCTAAGCTCAAGTTCTCTAGAATCCACCGATAAACATCTCTCTAGGAAAGTGTAATTAAGCATGTTGATTCATAGATCACTCTCAATTCATCAAGGTACACATCAAGGACTGGACTCTTGATTACACTTGCCAATCAGTTGTGCATTAAATTGGCTGAAATTGGTAATGTCAAAGTCCAGAATTGAATAATTAGGCCTGCTTGTAGCTCATTGTTTTTGGCTTTATAGAAAAGTTTTTTTTTTGGCTATTTTGTATCTATTCTTTTTGCTATTTTGTTTCTCAACTTTTCTGCTACAAGCACACTTTTAAAAGCTTATTTTCCATCTGTCTGGTTTTCATACTATTAGAAACAAAAGGCATGTTTCTGTTATTGTACTTCAAGATCGGGTCCTGACCAAACTCTACTTGGTTGCTCTAGTTACTCTTATGATTGTATGAATATGAAACACATTCTATTCTAATGATTGTGATTTCTCTTATTCTTGTTTGGTTAGGTTTCATTAAGAGAAAAGAAAAGAAATTATTTTATGTTATATTACCAAAATAACCTTTTTATATTTTCAATCATTTTTATTTCTTTTATTTTTTTAGGGATAAAATTGATATTATGAAAATAGTGATTTCTTTTCTCTCCTAATCTCTCCACTTTTGGAAAGATTGAAAATGAGACTTATAAGAGAAATGAGTTTCTCTCAATTTTTTTCAATTTCTTCCCATTTCTCTCCACTTAAGCTATCCAAACAAGTAAGAGAAATACATATTTTTCTATTTCTTTTATTTTCTCTTCAAATCACTCAATCCAAACATAGCGTTAATTCTTTATGAAGAAATTTGACGAGCTAAAATTTCTTTAATAATATTATTGATGGACCTTAACTAATAAAGAAAAACATATTTCATCTCTACTACTATCTAAAATTGAAGATGAATGTTTTACTAATTTTTCCTTTTAAGAGTCTTGAACTTGTGAAAAAATGGTGGGAATAGGCTAGAAATTTACATGTGCATTCCTTGTTACCTTTTGAGAGATCATATTCAATGTTTGTGTCAGACTAAGGGAACTAATGTTGGGTGGTAAAAAAAAAAAAAAGTTTAAAACTCAAAACGAAAACACATTTTTTGTGTTTTCATTTTTTGGCCAAATTTATAACCTGAGACCATTGATTTATAAATCAAAAATTTTACCAAACAAGTTTTTATTTGAGTTTTTTAAATTTCTGTAAATATAAACTGAAAACGTAAATGTTACCAAACAGCACCTAAAGTTTTAACACGTCTTTGAATTCTTGTACACTTAAATAAAAATAAATCTTTGTAAAATTATCATTAAAAATAATTTTTTTTATGAAAATTTTTTACGTACGTCGCTAAAAATTAATAATTAGTGACTTTTTTTATCATGATTTTTATAAATTATTGCTAAAACTTACAATTAGTGACTTTTTATGACAAATTTTTTTTATAGGACCTATTAGACAATTAAGATCTACACATAAGTATTCCTAAATTTTTAGTTAAAAAATTAAAAAATTATTAAAAAAATTAAAAAGTTAATAACTTAGGCTTGGTTTGGCATTATCAAAAAAAGTCAAAAAATTATTATCCTATTTAAGTCACATTATCTTATTTAAGTCACATTATCTCTTTATTACATCACTTCAAACCCAACCCAACTCATATTTCATAAAAAGTCAAAAAAATTACTTATTTAGTTTATCCCAAACAACCGTTTATATTAAAAGATTAAATATTTTTTTCTCTCTATTTTTTGTATATTTTTTCGTAAAAATTAAATAATAATCTAAATATACTAATTTTTTTATATCATATTTTAATCAAAAGTCAAAAAATTACAAAAAAATCTATTCCTAAACGAGGCTTAAATTTTAATAACATTTTTCTTAACATCTAATTTAATATTAAATTTATTTTTATTCATAATATTATTAGACATAAATACAAATCCATCTAATTTTACACACTCATCATCATCATCTTTGAAGACAATCTTCTCTTATAAAAGGACGACGGTGACGATCCCCATCATGTTGAAAAATAATGATGATGACAGCCTCTCTCTTTGATATATTCGAAATAAGTGGATAATGGTATCCATTTTATCAAAATCATTACATTATTATTGTAAAATTAAGCCAAAATCACACCATCGGTCAATTGTCCAAGGGTTGATTTATCACTGCATTGTCAAACATAAATAATTTTGTTAGCATTGTGTTGCAGAATATAAATTATTTATTTAATACTGTATTGCCGAAAATAAACAAATTTTTCAACAATGTGTAACTTAGCCGTCAATTCACTATTTTCCATTCCAATTCAATACAACAAACAAAATAACAAACCGCCATTCAAATTCAAATGGTGAAAACAAATATGTTTAGGATTATAATGAAAATAAATATGTTTAGGATTTAAGATGGTGATGAAAAGAAATATGTTGGGTTTAAAATGGCGATGATGAGGAACTTTGGGTCTAAAGATGGTGATGAAGAGAATTACGTTGGATTAATGTAGGTGAAGAATATGTTTAGGTTCCGTTTGTTTTCAGAGGTAGAATGGAGGGGATTGATAGCAAGTGGATTTATAGTGAGGGATTGATAGTGAAGGGAATGTGTTTGTTTTGATAGTAGTTGTGGGGATTGTTAAATTATTACCTTATAATAGAAATATAAAGTATTAAAACAAATAAAATTGTCATTTTTACTTAACAAAAAATACAAAAATATTAAATATTAATGTTTAAAAAAAATGCCCAACATGTAAATAAAAAATAAAATAAATCAAAAAAAAACTAATCCTATCGGACTAATTTCCTAATATCATCTTTACTTTCTCCATCTCAATCCCAACACCAAGGCCCATTCTAATCACATGAGATCTCTTTATATCAAAAAATAAACGTAACATATAGTGAGTCTCACCTCCATCTCAATTACAATCTTATCTCTATCTCCCAAAATAAACGGGGCCTTAGGTTAGGAAAGTGGGTGTACAATATTATAGAGTTATCTTTATTTGGTTAGTGGGTATTTTATTAAAAATTGAATTTTATTATAATTTTAGTTTGGAATATAATTATAAAAAAAAAGGGAATTGGAGATTAAAAAAAATCAAGTAGACGCAGCTCTTTGAAAAATATGGAACGTGGTGCTAGGGTGCGCTCTGGGTGTGTATTGTAATGGTGTGATGTCCTCCATCCACTGAATTCTGTGTGTCAATCATATAAGAGTGTTGTAGACACCCCATTTTTTATCGTCCTCAAAACTGGGATATGCTTGCAGGTACATCCGATGACAAGTTCGATTGCTCGTCGAGTACACGACTTTCGCGGCGGAACGTCATAGGTTTGAGTTTTCCAAACACTGTCGGCCACTCCCTGCCACTGCCAGCCATGCTTTTGTCCCTGCCTACTATTAATGAAACCTGTCGACCATCAATGAGGCATTGTCGGCTACAACTGATGGCCAGCAGAACACTTTGTCTCAATAGATTTCACTCCATATCTTTTGAGCCAGCTAGTTTTCACTCATCTCTCCTTCATACACGTGTATGGAGGGATGAAACCATTTCCAAGCTTGTTCAACAAGCTTTGCTTTGCATGCCTCTTTATAAGGAGAGGCCCCTCCTCCCCAGCAGGGGTTCAACATTTT